GGGGTCACCCATCAGCGCTCCTGGCTCTGCTGGGTCACATCGTTACTGCTGGAGCTCCGGCTTCCAGCCTCCGGGGGACTTGCTGTCCGCCCCCCCCCCTTCAAAGGCTGCCGTTAGACGCGCTGTTAGGACAGTTCCTCGAAGATTTTGGGGCGGTCGCCCGGCGCCCGCAGCACATCCACGGGGTCTCAGCTTGTTGGTGGCGATGGGGCTGCTCTCACCCGTTGTCCAGGCGTTTCGGGCCGCCTGCCTGATGCTCCGACGCTGCCTCCTCGGCTCGCCCTGCGGGTCCAGATCGCCTTCGGAGAGAGGTCTTATTTATTTCCCATTTTCATTAGCCTCATCTTCCCCGACAGTTTCCCTGATGGCAGCCAAACAACTTTTCATTCCGAGATGATGTTCTCTCTTGCCCGTGGCTTTGCCCCCTGCTGAGACTGTTTTTATACAGTAAATTAATTTTTGATCATCCAAATCATCAAGATCATTTGGTCAGTTCCCAGTTACCCCATTGCGCTTCCTTTAAACGCATCAGCGTGAGTCTCTGCAGTTGGTGTGCCAGCGATTTGAGAACCAGGGAGGGTAATTCCTCCTTCCCCCTGCTAACACCCCTTCAGGACTGGCCACAGCATAGGGGGAGCGGGGGATTTTTGGACTAAATGAACACAACATCCGTGGGGCAGAGCCAGAGTCTGCCTTCAGTTCTGCCTTTAAGCATCCCGTTCCCAAACTGAGCCCAGCACCTTTCAAATCCCATCCTGGGCGCGCCTTTCTTACCCGTTCTCATCCCAAATCCCGTAGCTCAGTTGTTAAATTACTGCTAAGAATCGTGGAAACAAATCACAGCTTAAAAGCCGGCCGTAGGAAGCAGCAGAGCTTCGTTGGTCTGGATGCGGGGAGAAGGGGGAGGCGTTCGCCCCGGGTAAAGCCGGGGGCGCTGGGGCTGCCGTCGCTCGGTGCTTTCCCCCCGGCGGCACTAACGGGCGTTCTTGCTTCGTAGGTACCTCGTGACGGAGGGTCAGATTTTCATCCTCTACATTTTCACTTTCTTTGCCATGATGGCTTTAGTGATGCACCAGAAACGCAAAGGACTCGTCCTGGACAGCAACGGGCTTTTTCTCTTCTACTCCTTCATCATCACGCTGGTCCTCATTGCTGTTTGGGTGGTTTGGCTGTGGAACGACAAAATTCTCAGGAAGAAGTACCCTGGCGTGATCTATATCCCTGAGCCGTGGGCGTTTTACACCCTGCACATGAACAACCTCCATGCAGCAAAGGAAAGTTTATAAGTTTTGATATTTTAGAGTGATTTGAAGAAAAAAAAAAAAAAAAATTAAAAAAAATCTAGTTTTTCTAATGTAGCTGTATTTCAAATAAATTCCTGACCTTCCATACCTGCAAGATGTATCGTGTGTTAACTGCACCCAGCTGGGGAGGGGGTGGCCAGACAAAAGGGGAAAAAATGGACTTTGCAACGTAACGCTTTAAAGCCGGGGTCGTGGGTCGTGGCCGGGGCGTCTCCCCCGGCCGTGCAGCGCAGCCCCCACAATTGCACCGCGCGGTTCCGCGCTGGTTTACGGGACAGCACCAAATCCCGCCCGTACCGCAGTGCCCCTCGCCGCCCCGCGGAGCATCCCAGCCCTCGACGGGGAGCGGGTGGCTGGGAAGCCGGAGCCCTCTCCCCCTCCCCGTGCCTTGGCACGGCGTGTCCGCGCCGCCCACGCTGCTCCCAGCCGAGGAAACGGGCCGGGAAGGCGCTGAGCCGCCCTACCTTGGATCCGCACGGCAGCTCCGCTCGGCCGTGCCGCCCCGGACCCCGGGACGAAGCCTGGTGTGGGGCAAGAAGGGCCGATTCCCCACGAACCCAACCCGACCAGAGTGGGGGGCTGAGCTCCAGCATCAGCCCTGCCAGCAGCTCCTGCGCCCGCTCAGCACTTCTCCCGCCGCAGGTGATGGAGCTGAGCTCCTGCAACTCCAGCTGCGTCCCTGCGGTGGTTTCTGCCTATAAAATTTGTATGAGAGGCCGTCCCTGCAGTGGATCCCCATAAAATTTGTATGACAGGCCTGTGTGACAGCACCCAAGTGGTAGAAGAAAAAAACTATTAGCAAAACATACCGAATAAAATTGTTTTTTAAAAGCTGAGTGACTCATGTTGCTTCCCGAAGCAGCTCTGGTCGTCAAAGGGAGGATCTTTATCCCACAAGATTTAAGGACCCTGGAAGTGTCGTTGTGACAGAGCAGGATCAACCTTGGGAAGGGTCCGGTCCAGCCTGTAGTGGTCACTACGGCCACTAAATATTTTGTTCTCGGGTCTGGCTCTCCCCCACAGCCTGGCATCAGGCACTTCATCCCCACACACACATGCTAGCCCCTCTCTGAGCAGCCCCTGGGTTTCTTTTCGGGATATTCCAAGCACCAGCAGGGCTGGAGAGGCAGAACATCACTCACCCCGCACCCAGCCGAGCTGCTGGCTCAGCTCTTTTTGTAGGGGACAGGACAGGACAAAATTGTGGGTTCAGGTTTCGATATTTTCTTTTTCACGGCTTGAACGGCAGAAACTTAGTGCTGGAAGGGACCAGAAGATGCGGCCCAACACATCTGGGGCTGGTCCACAGCAGCTGGAGGCTCTGCCTCCCCCCCGCAGCCGGGTTTGAAGCCCAGAAGCTCTCCGGTTCGCTGCAGCCCTCCTCTGCCTCAGCATCCCTTCTTCAGCCTCCCCCAGCCGAGGGCTGCAACAAGACTTGGCAATCCTGGAGGCCGCCTGCTCCCCAGCACATTACCTAAATAAATGCTAATAAATAAAAACTCAGACAGTGAGGAGCTTCTGAAACCATCTCAAAAATCCCTTCTCCTCCTCTCAGCGCGTCTGCAACGTCCCAGCTCCTCCACCTTTGCCGGCACATCTAAACCCCCCCCTTTCCCCTGCAAACCCCCCGGGCAGGGCACGGCGACGCTGCCAGTGATGCCCAACGCCCCGCACCGAGCTCAGCCAGGACGTGCAAAGCCTGAATTAACTCCTCCTCCCCCCCGCCCACCAGCAAAACCCCTCCAGCAGTCACCTGCAAAGCTGTAAATCCCCCCCACACCCCCTCGGTAGATACCAGCGAGGCTGGATTTGTCTCCCAGCCGCTAAGCTCAGTGCAAGGTGTGCAGCTATTTGAGATCATCAAACCTTTTCTGCTCGACCAGCCCCATCCCAAACACCCTTAAACCCCGACCGAGGGAAGCTCTCGCCCCATTCCCTCCCAACAGCATCGCTGCTCGGGGTCCCAGCCGGAGTCCCGAGGCTTCGGGCAGGCTGGGAGAAGAATTCTCGCCACGGCGTGGGAGCAGGAGCCGTGCTGGCAGCGGGATCCAGCCCCGACAAGGGATCAGGTCTCGTAGCCATAGCAGCGGGGTATTTATTACAGCCCGGCCGCACTCCACCCCGGACTTTAGCCCTTAATCAAACAGAAAAGTAGCAGCAGACGCCTCCGATCCCGACGGGCAGCGTAAAACACAAGGAGGGTCCCCAAAACAATGGTGAGTGAAGCGTTTTGGATGGTAGAAACTGCTCACCCCCACTCCCCCCATCCTGATTTTAAAGTTGTTGGGTTTTTTTCTCTCCTCCTCCTTCATGCTACAGGCAAAATTTCTGTCCCAGGATCAAATTAATGGTACGTACAGTTTTCTTCTGTGTGTGTGGGGGGGGGTGGGTGTATTAGCAAGATCAGCTTAAATTTGTAAGTGTATTTTATATATACACATACTAAAAAAATGGCATTTCTCCCCAGAGTGTCTCGGTCTGGGCTTGTGCTCCCCCGCTTGCCCTCCTCCCAGCTCTTGAGGGGATCTGCTTGCTCTGAACCCAGAGAAATCTCCCCAGTTTCCTTAAGACAGCGCTGGGCACAGGCAGGGAGCTCCCACCGCCTGCAGACCCCCAGGCTGGATTGCCTCGAGACCAGCGGAGCTTAACCAGCAACCTCCCAACCCCAGAACCACATCAGCCCTGGCCAAGCTAGCAGGGACCGGGGGAAACTTCAGGGGACCATTTTGCAGCACTGGAGGTTTCACCTACGCTGGGAGCGAAGGCGAAGGAGGAAGAGGAGGGAGGAGAGGGCGCAGGAAGCACGAATTGCCATTGCGAGGCTCTCCTGGGGAAAGGGGACCCCTGCCTCGGGCTGGAACGAGGAAGGGTTTGCTATGAGAACGGCAGAAGAAAGCTGAAATAAGAGTATTATTGCAAATCTGTTAATCTGCAGCGCCCTCGGGCTCAGCAGCTCTGCTGCAGGGGAGGAGGCAGCCGGGGCAAGGGGAGGCCACAGCACCCCCAGGGCACCCAGCACCCCCAGGGCACCCAGCACTGAGGACAGAGAGGATGAGGATGAGGAGAGGGGTCGGAGGGTGGTCACACCGAAATAGGTGGATTTTTTACGTCCCTGGCCGCTCTGCAGACGGGACCCCGCGCAGCACAACTGGCTCGTTAGCGTTGAGCGTGACGAGGAGGGAGGCCAGGGCAGCCTGATCTAGGTCAGCTGCAACCCTTCCTCCTTTCCCTGGAAACTGGGAAGGCAGCGGTCGAGGGGGAAGGGGAGAGGGCGAGCAGGGCGGCGGGGCGAAGCGAGGGAGGGGAGATGCAGCGGCGGGACGGCGGCAGGGCAGGCAGAGGCTCTCCCTCCACCAGACTCGGGCAGCTGGTGGCACTCGGACCATCAAAGGCGGCATTTTTGGTTCTTTCGCCTGTTCTTAAAGCCCAGGCGGTGGCGGGGGCAAGGGCCAGACCCGGCACGGAGCACGGCAGGGACCAAACGAGCATCCTCCGCCGCTCCTTAGGGCTCGTTCCTTTAGCATCCTCTCCTACCCCCCACGAAGGCAGGGAAAAGCACTTTTTGAGAGTATTCTACAGATTTGGAAGCCTGACTCCACTTTCATTAGGCTGAAGGACCCCCATTAGCTGAGCTGTTCAGAACCCTGGATTGTAATTGCCCTTGGCACTTTACCCAGGGTCCTCCCCCACTGTCCATCATCTTCCTCGAAACGAGACACCCCGAACCAGACACGATATCCCCGCTGGAACCCTACCAACGCTGCCCGGCCGGGCAACGGGAGAGGAAACGTCATGGGTAGATCAATGTCATCTTACACGGCATAACAGAGTTTTGGTTTTTAATTAGAGTTCAAGGAATGTTTTTCCCTGTACGACAAGAAACAAAAAGGCAAGATAAAAGCCTCCGACCTGATGGCAGTGATGCGGTGCCTGGGAGCCAGCCCGACGCCAGGAGAGGTGCAGAGACACCTCCACTTGCACAAGATCGGTAAGCAAAGCGCGGCGGCAGCACCCGAAGAAAACACGCTGGGTTACGGTCGAGAAACGCAACTTTTCTGTGGTCGGGAGACTCGATGCAAAGACAAAGAGGCCGCCTGGAGCCCGGGAGATAACGTTCACTGCAGGTGAAGCAGCCCAGGCAATGCAGCGTCACCCAGAGCGGTCCCCAAAACCTAGGCTGCTGTGCTAGACGGTGAGCAACGCCGATCCAGCGCACAAAGCTTCAAGAGCAGCGGGAGGGATGCAGATTGGGTACGGATTTTGAGGCTGGGAAGCTGCCCAGCCCAGCCAGCAGACGTAGCAGGGCACAGAAAGGTATTCATCTGCAGATACGGATCAATAAATTCAAAGCACAGCACAAAGGCCAATGAAGAACCAGATCAGGCGGGCTGGATGAAAGACTGTGGATATGAGGTTTCAGAGCACAAGTTTACCAAAGCTATAAATGGGGTTTTGGGCCAGCACAAAGCACTGGTCCACCCTGGCGCAGACCAGAGTCAGGCAAAAGAGAAAAAGGTGCCCCAGGGAGGGGAACCGGGCAGGGGGAGAGGAGGGGGATGCCTAGCTCTGGATCCAGACTACGAAACTGAGCTGTTCCTAAAGAACCTGCTCTTGTTTTTCCAGACAGAAACGCGGAGTTGGATTTCTCCACTTTCCTGAATATCATGTACAGGCAAATGAAGCAAGAGGAACCCGAGAGGGAAATCCTCACGGCCTTGTCCATGATAGACAGGCAGAAGAGAGGCGTTATCTCCGTGTCGGAGCTGAGAGCCAAACTTACCAGGCTAGGAGAAAAGCTTTCCGAGGAGGAAGGTATTTTGCAATTCAAAGATGCATCACACGCTCCTCACCTTCTCCCTTCCTTCCTGATTTTCCTCTGCAGTCAAGTCTGGGATCAGGCGCTTCCAGCTGGGAAGCCAGGAAGGACCTGTGCCAGCAGGAAATAGCGCTGGCGACCCTCGGGGCGGGGGGGGGAGGAAGAGGGGATGTCCCCTCCATCGCACCGTCCCGTCGTGTCCCCAGGTCCGCCACCAGCCTCTTCCCTGCCACAGCCCCCCGAGGAGCTTGTGCCTTCGTTTAAAAACCACTTTGCCCACGTCACCCAGAGCCCCGACCCGCGCGGGGAGCGCTCCCCGGTCCCCACAGCAGGTCAGACCCACGCGATGTCTCCTCGCCGCCGTCAGCCTCCGCCCGCAGCCCGACCGCTAAGCAGCGGCTCTGTGCCTTGCAGAAGGGCTCCGCCAGCTGCCCGCTCACCGAGAGGCTTTCCCCCTTTCTCCAGTTGTTCCCAGAACGGCGATTTTTTCACCCCAAGATGCTTCGCCGTATTTCTCAACGAGCGCCCGTCCCTCCCCGCTGCCGCAGGGATGCTGTGAGGAGCACCCAGGGCGCGGGCAGCACCCCAGGAGCGCTGCCACCGTGAGCTCTGCGGCCAGCGCGATTTGGGAGAGGGGTTTTTCAATTGCAACTCTTTTTTTTAAAAGAAAAGGCTGTCCTGTTTGTCCGAAATTTCCCTCCAAAGGGGCAGAACAGGAGGGAATTTCCAGGAAGCCGAAAATGATCAAGCCCTTGCAGCCAGCTGATTCTGCCCCAGGCATTTTCCGTATGTATATACCCTCTTTAAAGGCATGCCCCGCTTTCCCAGCTCTGCACACCCCTCCTTTCTCCAAACCACATCACCTTTGGCTTCTCCTCCAGCTCTTCCAGCGCTCTCGCCCCTCCAACCCTGCTGCAGGCAGCAGGCTCTGGATTTTTCCCACCGCTCGCTCCCCGCCAAAGACGGCGTCAGAAAAACCCCCATCACCAGCGTGACACGGGCCAGGATTGAGTTTTACCAGGGTGACGGGGTTTGTGCAGACCCCACCCCAGGCTCCCCGAGGGGGCAAGAACCGCCCTGTCTAATGTTAGAGCAGAATTCCGACGTAACCAGAGCAAGGCTGCTCAGTGCAGTCGCCACCACCAGCTCCCCGAGCGATACGCCACCAAGGCATTTCTTCTGTGCGTTGTCTTCAATTGTTTAACTGGAGCAATAGCTCACGCAGCTATTTACACCTGAAAATGCTTTCAGAGCTATTCTGAGAGCTGAACAGCGACGACGCGGAGACACCAACCCTAATCAAAGGCATCCTAGCAAGAACCACCACTGTATGAAGCCGATCTGGGAGGTGCAGGGGGACGTCCCATTACTCTGGCATACAGGCTGAGCATCTCCTCACGACTCCTAACGAGGCTCTGTAGATCCCACTGTAGGAAGCAACGCTTCTCCTCGACCAGAAATTCCCCCATGGGCTTGACCCACTGAACTGCAGCTCGCTGAGCTGCTGGGAATATTGGACACCGCAACGGCCTCAATTTCAGCAGCATCTGCGATCGTTCGGTAACTGCTGGCACGTACCTGCACTTACTGTGGCTCCAGAAAAGCCTCCCCTTCATTTTCATTTAGCGTACTTTTGCCAAATGAGAACCGACACATTTTTCTTCTGTGTTATTTTTACATGTTCTGGGAAGAATTCATTCTTTTTTGAATTTATGTCCTTAGAAGCATTTGATTACCATGGGGGTGTTCCGGTTGAAAGAAGGATTCGATCTCTTGGCATGGAGGTTGTCCCTTCCCTTACAGGAACAGCAGTTCTTACAACTGCTGTCCCTCACCCCACGGTGCAACCTGGCAGCAGCTTCCACGAGGGCTGCGCTTACCCCCCCACGTACACCGAGACCCGTGGGCACAGGGAGGAGAACCCAGCGCCTCGCTCAGCACCTGCCCGAACGGCCGAGAAACAGGTTACGCTGCTCACAGAGCCCTTCCACAACTACTTGCAGTAAACCAGATTTTTTTACC